TTACTTTCTCTAGTTGGTAACTTATTAGAAAAATGATTCAGTATATGAAATGTTGAATGGTTAAGATAATAATAAACTCGACTCTAATTAATGCTTGTATTCAAAAAAATTCTTGTCTATTTTTCTCTCTAATCAAGGATTCTGTCTTATCAAGAACCCTTAAGGACATGAAAATGAATGGCAGAAAAAAGAACAGGATTTCAACACATCATAAAAATCTCTTTTAAAATAAGCTTTAGAAAGTATATATTAAAAAGTCTTAAATATTGACTTGCTGGAAGATATGAATCTTATTTTTTTGTGCTGAACATTTTCTTTAATTGTAAATAAAAGCCAAAAATGTTTCATTTCTACTTTGGGTGATCTGACACATAGCATAATGTTTATTGCATATCCTTAACCTGTTAAAAATAATCCACACATCAAAATATTTGTTTGCAATAATACTGGACTATATTATTGTCTTCATATATGTGCAAAAATTTGAGATTCACATTTGTCTTTATTCTTTTCATTAATATTAGGTTTTTCTGTCACTTTCAATGCAATATGCTTGTAATGGCAAAGAACCAATCACACTAGGGAAGATTTACTTTATTAAATGCAGAAGAGACTTTCCTTGACTGTTTAATTATAAAAAGTTTTAAAATTAATTGTAACTCAAGTGGTTTAAAGACCTACTAATTAGACCATAAACTCGACAACTGCTAGAAGAAATATAGGCTCAACACTCCAACATATTGGCACAGGCATCAACTTCTTTAACAAGACTCCTAAAGTACAAGAAATAAAACCAAGAACCAATGAGAGAGAAAGCATCAAATTAAATAGCTTCTGCACGGCAAAGAAAACAGTTAAAAGTGTGTGGAGAGAGAGAAAGAGAGCCTATACAATGGGAGAAAATCTTTGCCACTTGCTCCTTAGCGGATTAATATCAATATTATATATATAATATATATAAGTTTTTGATATATATATCAAAAACTTAACACCAAAAGGAAAAAAAAACAACTAATAAATGGACAAAAGAACTAAACAGATACTTCTTAGAAGAAGAAATACAGGTGCCCAACAAATATATGAAAAATATTCAACATCTCTAGCAAGCAGGCAAATGCAAATCAAAACTACATTGAGATTTCATTTCAAATCAGAATGGCAATAATCAAGATTATAAACAATAATAACAGATGCTGGAAAGGATGTGGGGGAATGCTACATTCATACATTGTTGGTTTGACTACAAATTAGAGCAACCACTCTGGAAAGAAGTAAGGATATTCCTCAAAAAATTAGAAATAGAACCATTGTATGAATAAGCTATCCCAATCCTTGGTACTTATCCAAAAGAACTAAAATAAGCATGCTATAGTGATACAGCCACGTCCATGTTTATAGTAGCACAATACACAATAGCCAAGTTATGGAACCAGTCCAGATGCACATTCCACAGATGAGTGGGTAAAAAAAAATGAGGCATATATACACAATGGAATTTGAAACAACTATAAAGAAGATGATATGCATTTGCTGGTAAATGAATGGAACTGGAGAACATCATGCTAAGTGAAATAAGCACACTCAGAAAGTCAAGGGTCGAATGTTGTCACGGTGTCCCCCAAAAGCTCATGTGTGAGACAATGCAAGAAGATTTAGTGGAGAAATGGTTGGATTATGAAAGTTTTGACTCAATCAGTGAATTAATCCCCTGATAGGATTAAAGAGTGGTGGCTGAAGGCAGATAGGCTGTGGCTGGAGGAGGTGGGTCACTGGGGGAGGCTTGTCTTTGGATTATATATTTTGTATCTGATGAATGGAGTCTCTTTCTGCATTATGTGAATGACTTTCCTGTGCCACACTCTTCTGCCATGATGTTTTGCCTCTCTTTGAGCCCCAAGGAATAGAGGCAGCCTTCTGTGGACTCAGACTTCTGAAACCATGAGCCCTCTGAATAAACTTTTCCTCCTCTACCATTGTTGTGATCTGGTCTTTCACTTGTAGTAGCAAAAAAGCTAAAACAAATGTTTTATCTCATAACACAGAAGCTAGAAAAAAAATAAGGAAAAAGGGTGAAGTTAGATGAAAATAGAAGAGAGATCAGTGAAGTAGAGGAAGAGTATTGAAATGGAAGAAGGAGGAACAGGAAATGGGAGGAATGGTAGAATTAAATTGGCCAAACTATCTTAGGTGCATATATGAATATACCAAAGTGCATTTCACCTATGTATATATCTATAAAGAAGTAATTTTTTAAAACTATAGATAAATAGAAGGAAGACCAGTAGAGTAGGAAAAAAGGAACCAGAGGAGGAAGGAGAAAAGGGAAAGAAGTACTAGGGACTGAATTGGAGCTAATTATATTCTAGGCTTGTGTAATTACATCAAAATGAACCCTCATATTGTGTATAACTGTAATGTACTAATAAAAAATTAATTGTGATATTTACTGTAAGGTTAACAGTCAACTTGTTTTTATGATAGTGAACTACCCACCTGCTAAAATATTGTTAAAGGAACATGGTTAAAAAATGAATGGCCATTGCTATTTTTATATTTTATGCTTCCCAAGTAATTATTTTTGGTCAGAAAATTACTGGGGTCATGCAAATGACATGGTCTGAAATTAGCAAGTCCTGCAAGCATGATGACAGTGTCCATATCACACAGATCTGTTGCACACCTGAAAGAGCATCACTGTCACTCTCTTGTTTGAAGTAATGGCTATACTTTAATCTTCTGATTTGTTAATTGTGAGGCCTACTAATTTTAATATTTTGGAGGGAGATGAAATTTCTGTCGACAATGTATTTCAAAGCTGCCTGTTTGCAAATGCTCAATGCTAAAGAAAGAAAAGTGTGAAAAGTGTAAAAGTGAAAACAAGTACAAGGTAAAATGGTGACATATTCAAAGTTTAGTGGTTTGGGTTAAGACAAGGTACAACAAATAAACTGTAAAGGGATGGCTGGACTGGTTCAATGGAAACCAGAAGAGATGAGACTAAAAATACTGTTTGGATACTGTTGACTTATTGGTTACCCCCCAAAGAAGAAACAGCATCCAGTATGAAATTGAGAATGGAAGTAGTTGAGGAATAAATGTAAGGTACAGAAAACATAGACGTGAACATGATGAGCTTGTCAATAAGTAGGACTGTGAGTGGGGAGATACTGATAAAAGAGATCTTTTTGAATAAAATGAAAAAAAAATGAGTGCCTGACCTTTTATAGGAGGAAGGACTGGGTTTGTGGCTAGAAAGAGGTCATTTCTGGATTCTGCTTCTTCTGTGGCTGAGAATGAGGGATAGGTGGATGGAGAGAGAAGCTGAAGGAAGAACAATCCAGCAAGGTGATTAACAAACTGTAATAGTTTCAGAGAATTATCACTGAATTAAATGTATAAGGTGTTGAGCATAATGTTACAATGACTATCATTTTGCTTCTAAAGAACTGTGTTGTAAGAAAATTTTCCTCATGATGAATATGAAAGCAGACTTTTGACTAGGTAATTTTCCATCATTGCGGTACAGGCACACTACATCAAAGATCAAAGAATCCCTAACCTGATGATCACCCTAAGGTATTCTGAAGCTGAGAAGGGTGCTGCCTGGTTCTGCAAAGAGGAACTTTAATTTTTCAAAGGGTAGTTAAGAATTCATACTTATCTGTCTTTTTCTTCATAAGAAAGAAAGACCAAAATGCTGGATAACATTGTACGTTAAAACTGAATTCAGGGAAACCCAAGTATGATTCCATTGAGGAAAAAATGGTGACTCTAAAAAGACCAACCCAAACTGAGAAGTAGTTTGTCTAATATATTTTTTCCCAAATGTAAATAGAAGACTAATTATTAGTATGCAGGATTTCAATAAGACATTTTGGTTTTTTATGTACTTTCAAAATATGAGAAAATAAAAATACAGTTAATAAATTTGCTGGCATCAAATAGATTATTCTATTACTATTAGATATAAGAATTTCAATATTAACATATTTATTATTTTTCTCAAATATAGAAACAACTCTTTGGCAACTCTGTTAATCAGTTTAAACAATACAAGTGTAAATAAGATAAAGAATGAAATTCTCTTTATTCTCCTCAATACCCTAGATTGATTTTCTCAGTCCAGAGGTAAGCATTGTAGCAAATCTGCTCTGTGTGTTCTCAGATGTAAATATATATTCTACAATATTCACTTATATACAAAAATAATGTATATCATATATTATAGTATATTATTGTTTGAAAGCTTTTATTTTCATCTAAAATACGATAGATCTATCACCACATTGATATGTGGATTGGTTTAATTTTTTATAACTGAGTAGCATTTCATAAGATGGAGGCAAAATAATTTAATTATTCTTTAATTGACATATTTTAGAATTACATTTCTCACTTTCTTCCTTCTTCCTCATTCTTCCCTTCATAGGTTATAGGTGGAAGTCAAATAATAAACTTTAAAGCTAAATGACATAGTAGAATTCAAATATATTTCAAAGAACAAATAAATATCCAGAAAGGTATTAACACTGAATAAAAGTGGATGATGAGAAAAGCAAAGGAAGGAGAAGAAAAGAAGAAATTGTAAACTAGTATTTTTTTCAGATAAGGTCAAATACATATTGCACAGGGCATATGGGGTTGAGATATTATTTAAATATTAGCATTGATGTAACTACCTGATTGATAATAGTCCTCTTTTTTATATTAATTCAATTTTATATTTTTTTACACAAATGGAGCACAACTTTTTGTTTCTCTGATTGTACATGATGTAGAGTTACACCATTCATGCAATCATACCCATAAATAAGAGTAATAAAGTCCACATCATTCTACCATCCCCCCCATATACTCCCCCCCTACCCCCACCCTCCTCTCTGCTCCATCCAAAGTTCCTTTCTTCTTCCCTTGACCCTCACCCATAATGGATCATTATTTTTATCAGATATAGAAACAACTCTTTGGCAACTCTGTTAATCAGTTTAAACAATACAAATGTAAATCAGAGAAAACATTGGCCTTTGGTTTTTTGGGATTGGCTTACTTTGCTTAGCATGGTATTCTCTAATTCTGTCCATTTACCTGTAAATGCCATAATTTCATTCTTAAAGCTGAATGGTATTCCATTGTGTATATATACCACAGTTTCTTTATCCATTCATATACTGAAGGACATCTAGGCTGTTTCCACAGTTTAGCTATTGTGAATTGAGCTGCTATAAACATTGAGGTGGCTGCATCACTGTAGCATGCTGATTTTAAGTCCT